TGCATTTGCACAAGAGGAAAACATACATCAAAGATGGAGAACGAAGTCAAAACTGTTTAGAAATATAATTAATAATCATTAGAAATATAAATAAAATATATTTGTAATAATTTATAAAAATTATATTTATTAAGTATTATTTACTGTTTTAGATAATTCATGTAATAAAAGTATGGTTAAAAAAATGTCAGAATAATATATATACACACACACACACAGTATATGCTGCTGAAATCATTTGGTGAGGCAGCTCATTAGGTTCTGAAGCAGAGCTGACATTTACACACATTTTAGTTTCCTCTGAACATGTCCCACAATCCCTTTGTGTTCAGACACACATCAATGACCCAGAACAGCCATTTGTTACTCAGCATTCCCCCTCCTGACCACACACAATGGATTCCTCCATCTCTAAAAACAGGAGAAAAGAGAGGGGGAAATCTTTATTATTAATGAGTGTAACATAAAACGCTTAATTTGCACCGTCTTCAACCAAATTATAATTCACACTGAAAGTGTGCAGCAGAATTTGCATAAATCTCATTATAAACAGAGAGCACAGTTCATAAATCCTCCCATTAATTAGAGGTGTTTTCACCTCCCTTTCATACAGCGTTGTGTATTAATAAACGTGTATGTGCATGTGGTTTACCTTATTGACCTTTGAAGTTGCTGGATGTGACTAGATATGAAAGAGGTTGTATATTTTGACCCGATATATCATAAATGTGTGTATTGATTGCTATGGGATATTTCATTTATTTATGCATACATTCGAGCATTTGGCAGAGGTTGTTATCCAAAGTATACTTTTCGTCCCTGGGAACTGAACCCAAGGCCTTGGTGTTGCTAGCACCATATGTACAGTATGTGAGTGCTTTTGTATGCATGAGTCTGAATCTGAGTCTGTGTGTGTGTTTATGGCTGTGGAAGGGATTGAGTCTGATCTGTTTGTTGGTCTTTCTCATTAATATAGGATTTGCAGCATTAGGCGTCTGGCACCGTCAGCAGAACTAAAGCTGCAATGAGTCAGGGACCCCCTCGCCAGGTGTCTTCATAAACAAACACCTGTTACCAGAAACACACAGACTTCCATGTGTGTGATGTATAAAGAGCTCCGAGGATGTCTTTGTTAGTTTGACTATATTGTAGCAGGTTTTGGCATATTGAGACTTCAAAAGAAGGAATGCGAGAACAAAGGGTGAAAACCCTCATTTAAAAGGGTTATTTTGTTTAGATTTTGATTAATGAGAGATGAAAAAAGAATGAAATATTAAAATAACTGCTTCTCAAGGTTAGAACTTTGCATCAAATAAAAAATATCTGGAGGAAGTCTTACTTAAAGGAGCAGTTCTTTCCACAATGTGAGATATTTTGGGAATGTCCAATTTACCTTTGCAATTTAAAGGCTGAAATGCATTATATCTGCCTAGATTTTTGGCCCAATTTGCACAAGTTTATATGCATAAATCTCTCATATTTATCAATGTCCCTGAGGTCAATTCCACTTGCAATGTTTGTATCCACTTAGCTGTATCTTAAATTACACTACCAAATTGGCAAATATTGTTTGATAAGCACAAATTCCAATTTTTTAGCTACGAACTATAATTCCATTTAGCCAGAGGAAATCAAACATGATTCATTTTTTTGAGCCAGTTTTAGACTGCATATTGTTCTCATTTGTCATGCATCTGCTGTGAGTTTGTTGTGTTTGGACTGACTTGAAACTTGGCCTCTACTTTACACACACACTCGCATATAAACACATGTACACACTCTCATTACATACCAACATACAATCTCTAATCTCTCAATCTCAATCTTCTAATGCTAATGACTCTTCTGAATACTAAGTAGGGTGATTATGTTGCCTTCTGAGGTACTTTTTATTTTTGAACAAATTATTTGCAGATAATGCGTGTTTAGAAGTATAATTTATGAGAAGTATAAATCCGATAATTTTTTTATTTATTTATTTAACATAATTGTAATTAATTTAATAGCAGAAAGTATCGCTAAAATTGTTAAGAATAATTAAAAAATATTTGAATAAGTTTGGTAGTGAGTGATCCGGAGATGTTTAGTGTATGCCCAGTGTAAATGCTGTATATTCCAGCCTAAATTTTAGCTTTCAAAATCCTGTCAACCAGTGTTCCCAAACTCACATCACTGGTTCCTGCAGAAGTCGACATGCCAATTAAAAACAAAACACAAATCACAGAGTTTACACTCTTGCCAACCTGCGAATAGCTTATAGTTGTCTCTGCATATTAAACTGGGATATTTTAAAAGTATCAGAAAAATTACACACTTCACCTCTAACTGTGACTTATCCTTTGTGGCCTCCTGTGCTGTTGGATATATTTATACCTAAGCTGGGCTGTTTAGTTTACTTAATATGTGTAAATGTGTTTCATATTTGCCAACATCCCTTAATTAGGTCATATCCACTTGCAATGTTTGTATCCAGTTGTATAACTGTATCATAAATTATATTACTCAGTTGGCAAATATTGTTGCTTCTCAAGTAAATTTATCTAGTTTAAAGGGTGTCTTTCCTACTAGAAAACAAGACAAAAGTACATATCAAAGGAGACATATTATGCCCCTTTTTACAATATGTAATATAAGTCTCTGGTGTCCCCAGAATGTGTCTGTGACATTTCAGCTCAAAATACTCATCATCTTATCAGATCATTTATTATATAATTTTGAAAATGCCAATTTTGAGTGGAAGCAGAAACACGCTGTTTTTCGGGCCTGTCTGTTTAAATGCAAATGAGCTGCTGCTCCCCGCCCCCTTTTCCAGAAAATAGCTGTGCCATTACAGCTCAGACCTGCTAAAAAACATCTGTTATGGTTCTGATTATCATGTTTATCGCGCTAAAATCATGCATTTTAAACCATATGAGTTTAAACTTCTGATATACGGTTTTCTGAGCGCACACATCCGAAGCAAACGGACAGAAAGCGGCTGTCACAGCATGTGAGTACTAAACTAAGTTCTCATTCACACACAAGTTTACATTAAAAACACACGAGTTGGTTATGTCTGTGAAGGTAAACAGCAGGGAAATAAATCGCATGTTTAATTTAGATTTGTGTGGCAGCAGCATTATACAGTAAATAAATCAATAAATCCACTGCTCTGTTGTCTCCTCTGAGGCTGGGACTCTAAACAGTGTTCTGTGCTCGTCTGTGCAGTCAAAGACAGAACAGTTGGCATGTCTTGCTCAAACTTTCGCCATGGCATTAGAACTGTTACACCGTTGTTGCTTGCGAAATCAAAATGATGGCGCCGTGGGTGGAAACTTACAGATTAAGGGCCGGTAATATTATAATGAGATCCCTTTGCCACGTCACCAAGGGAGTGAAATCAGACTCGCTCGTTTTCTCAGACGCTTGCAGAAAAAGGCTTACCAAAACAAAGTTACTGGGTTAATCTTTTTCACGTTTCCTTGGTTGGTAGATGCACCGGGGACCTGATTATAGCACTTAAAACCTGGAAAAGTCAGATTTTCATGATATGTCAACTTTAAAGGTCCCAAATTGTCAAAACTGAAATTTCCTGGCTTTTTTCACGATAACTGAGGTCAAGGGTCTATTTAACTACCAAATAAGTTTCAAAACAGTCAGTCCACAGTAAACTGCACACAGCCTGCATAAAGTAGCTGTGATTTTTCACGAACCGCTGTGACTTCCGTAAAAAGTTGACGTCAGAACTACACAGTCACCGCCTTCAGTCACCACCCCGAGCACCGCCCACCGTCCCACTCTCCTTTTGCCGAACCCCCAGACAGCATCGCGTCCATGCCATTGCTGAGCAACGACAACACGGAAACATGTCGAAAAGGTTAACTTTAACCACGAAACCAGATCGGCCGACCTGTAACGTTACACTCTCACTCAAAGGATGGACGATCTGACAGGATTGTTACTATGAGGTGGATCACATCTAACTATAGTAAAGACAAACTCACCGTGTCTATCTAGTCATGATGAAGATGTATATACATTTCAATTTCAGCAGGCAACTATTTTTACAGCTACATTATTGTTCCAGCCACAATTAATCACAACAATGTATATACAATTACAAATGATTATATATAAATCGTCAGTTTGCTGTTTTACACACATGCACACAGACATGATTTCATACACAATAGTCGTGAGATGCAAGAAACACAGACATATGGCAAGAAATCTGTAGACGCGCCCATAACAACAGAAGACAATACTTTATTGAACCTTTTCTGATAAGAAGTGTGCGCTGCAAACACAAGCATTTTTAATGATCGTTTCTGTTCAGTCTGCTCGTTTTATCGCATTTAACCACAGCTGTCGTCGTTTTTTTTGTCTGGCAGTGACAGCAGATATGCGATCAAATTTCTAATTTGAGGCTGTATTACGTCGATTCTGGCACCCAACATCACAACAAGATGATATTTTAAGATCCTTATGTAGCCAAATCTGCGCTGGTTTGAATGGGCCGCCTCCAGTTTTCCCTTTGTTTTGCTGCCTCCAGCTAGCGCTGTGACGGCGGCTGACCCTAGTTATCTGTGGTTGGCTTGGCCATGCCTCACTCAGAAAACAACAGGCCAATCAGAATAGAGGCTCATGAATATTAATTAGACAGGCCAAAATCGACCTGTTCTCAGCAGAGCTCCTGAGAGAGGAGCTGTAAAAATATAGAGAGATGGTTTTTGGTACTTATACCGCAAATATATATTCTTAAGGACATCAAAACCTAAAATAAAACTCCAGAAAGGTGTACAATATGTGACCTTTAAGAAAATGTCTGTTTGTGATGAGCTTTCATTGTAGTGTAGTTGCAATAAATTTGTTTTTTCAGGCTCTGGCAGTGACTTTATATTTTCATAGAGCAACAAGTCTTTTGTCTTAAAGATCAAAGAAAATTCTACTTTTCATGACCCCTTTAAGATGTAATGTTGTTTGTTTAAGATGTAGTTTGTTGTCTGTCTGTGTGTATTCAGGTACATCCATTACCCAGCTGCAGGCGGTTGATCCAGACGGTGAGCCGTTGATTTTCGGTGTGGTCGGGGAAGAGGCCATGCGGTACTTCGCTGTGCAGGAGACGACTGGGGTAGTGTGGCTGAGACAGCCGCTTGACAGGGAGGTGCGGAAACCATGATCAGATGGTGAATGAATTGAATGACTGTCCAGCTGGAGCTGATGCTAGTGATGTAATGCTGCTGTTTGTTTGTCTGTTCGTGTTTTTGTGTCTTCAGACCAAGTCAGAGATGCAGGTGGAGTTCTCAGTCAGTGACAGTCAAGGGGTGAGTTAGAGATCATCGATCTATCCATTTTTCCCACCCATCTGTCTCTAAGGTCTCTGCAACCTTTGCGTTTTACTTTCTACTACCGTTCACAATTTTGAGGTTTGTACAAAAAATTTTTTTTTTAAAGAAATGGATGCTTAAATTCAGCAAGGATGCATTAAATTGATCAGAGGTGTGCAGTAAAGATATTTATAATGTTACAAAATATTTCAAATAACTGCTGTTCCCTTTCAGTCGTGACCGACGAATTGGAATTAGGGATATCGCTTCGATAGACCAATCTACTTCGAGTGTAAACTAAACGAGCCAATGCCCACTGGCATGCAATTATTGCATCCAGCTGCCGCTGATCACAGCGTGAGTATAATAAGGCAGCAGGTGCAATGCATATAGCAGCTTTTCGCTTCGGAGCCGAGCAACAACATCGTTCTGCTCTATGTTTATTTCGAGAACTACGAGTTCAGCACACTCTCGGAAGCTTTCTGTGTTGGCGGGACGGCGCTTCAGCGGTGGTCGTTCCAGTGTCGAGTGGGTTGCGCACTTCAGGCTGCACTACCCCCTGTAGTGTTGCAAAGCGGCCATCTCCCCTGTGCGCCTCAGCACTAAAAGAGCATTTCCTAAAAAGAGCAAATTTCTCTAAAAGAGCTACACGGGTGCATCTTTATAAAGACGACGGATCGTCCTTATAAGGATGCCGTTTCACCCGTGCATTTCTGGGTGCGGTCGTTACCTGGCACCGGGTGATGGTCACGATCGTTGCCTCACATGTCTGGGCATTAAGCACGCTGAGGTGGCCTTCATGGATGAGTCATGTTCTCATTGCGGGAAGATGACCATCTCGGAGCTGCGAACCAGGCTCCGCTACTCGCAAGGGGGCGGAGTCCCGTTGCCGCTGCCACGATCTGGGGCTCGTTCTGGCGGAAGGCAGACGGCGATCCCCCCGGTGGAGCGGGCGTTAGCAATGCAATTGTGTCCTAAGTCCGCCTCCTCCTGGCGGGGAGACCCGGTACTTCCTTCCCGGGCCTGTAGGCATTCGTCTGGTCTAACCGGCAGTGCCTATACGGCTTGCGGGGAAGCTGCTTCCGCCTTACACGCTATGGCGTTACTGCAGGTGCACCAGGCTAAGGCACTGAAGGACCTGCACGAGGGTGGTCACAATCCGGAAGTTCTGAAAGAGCTCCGAACCGCCACTGACCTCGCACTCCGAGACAAGGTTCGGTTCCTCAATTCCCCTGTGTCCCAGACCGACCTCTTCGGCGACGCAGTAGAGAGCTTTGCCCAGCAGTTCTCGGCTGCCCAGAAGCAGACTGTGGCGATCCGACACATCCTGCCCCAGCGGGCAGCTGCTGCCTCCATCCGTCCGCTGGCTGCAGCGCCCCAGCATGTTCGTCGCCGAGGGCGGGCCCCCGCGTCCGCCCCCGCTCCCGCTCCCGCGCCACATCCGCAGCAGCCTTCAGCAAAGCGGTGTCGTCGAGCCGGGCGTGGGCGGGCCGCCCCGCCTGTCCAAGCTCCCGGCAAACCTGCCGGCAAGCAGAAAAGCAAGCGGCCCTGAGACCCAGGGATGGAAGGATCTGCTCTTCGGGAGATGGTGAACGCACCACTCCCTCCCCCGGAGGAGGGCCGGGCGGAGAATCTTTTGTTTCATTTTTTCCCGCCGTTGGCCTCACGGCCGACGGTACAAAAATTCTCGACAAAAGAGCAGTTTCCTTTATCTCTGGGTCCCAGGAGGGCACGGAGAGTTGCGGGCGGACTAACGCCGGACCTCACTCATCCTCCTCCTTCGCCAGACGGCAGCATCGGGCGGTTCGAGAGCGTCAACAAAGGCCCTACTCACGCACCTTCTGCCAACCCGTGGAACCAGGTGAGCCTTGCACCCCACACTCACACCCCTCTCTGGCCCGCTCACAAGCCGCCCGAGCTGGGTCCCTGGGTTCCACCTCGCTGCCCCACTGCGGGTACAGCTATGGTCCCGCTGGTCCCGCTTGTACGGTTTCTGGGCACTTGGTCAGCGCTAACCAGCCCGTCTCGCTGGCTTCTGCGAACCATCGGCTATGCGATTCAGTTCGTCCGGCGCCTGTCCAAGTTCAGCGGTATCCGCTTCACTACAGTGAAGGCGGCCGATGCCCCTGTTCTACGGGCAGAGATCGCAGTCCTACTGGCGCATGATGCGATAGAGCTGGCCCCTCGAGCCGATATGAGGTCGGGGTTTTACAGCCCTTAATTCATTGCACCCAAGAAAGACGGTGGGTTACGGCCAATCTTGGACCTGCGAGTTTTGAACTGGGCCCTTCATCGGCTACCGTTCAAGATGTTGATGCAGAAATGCATCTTCGGGTGCGTCCGTCCCCAAGATTGGTTTGCAGCGATCGACCTGAAGGACGCGTACTTTCATGTGTCGATCCTTCCAAGCCACAGACCATTTCTGCGGTTTGCGTTCGAAGGACGGGCATATCAGTACAAGGTCCTGCCCTTCGGGCTGTCCCTGTCTCCCCGTGTCTT